TTAAGAGTTCATGACTTTGGGAAAGTTGATATTTGCCCATCCCTCTTATATCTGAATGATCATTTACCTTTGATGTCTAACAGGTGGGCGGTACCGACAGGTCTCAGTACCTGCGTAGTGTGGAGGCATATGACCCAACCACGAACAGCTGGCATACTGTGGCCCCCATGTCCACAATACGAAGCTACTTTGGCATCGCAGTAGTGGATGACCAGCTGTTCGTGTTGGGTGGGTATGATGGGCTTGGAGTCAATAAGAAGGTGGAGTGTTACGATGCGGAGACAGGGAGCTGGTATCATGCACAGGACATGATCGCAGCCAACGACACCTTCAGCTGCTGCGTAGTGCCTGCGCTCCCCCGCATCGTACAGTACGCTTCACCGCGTTAGTCTCCGATGGCCACCCAGGAGAGAAACCCATCTGCCTCCAACAGCCTGCCCAGTATGTAACCTCATTTACCCTCCCCCCCCACCCCCATTTTCTAAAATTAATACTGTTCACAGAAAGTCTTGCAATACTTGCTTACATACAGTGGAAACATCAAGCATGTTCAGTCTAACACCAACATGGGGGCCCATGCATGTGTAACAGTGTCTCTATGGCTATTTTTGGTTCCCTGTGCTGCTGTTGTCCTGGGCTCCCAGAACATGCTGTTTTACCTTTTCCATGTAATCTGCCCATAGCTATAAGCACACACTGATGGATGCTGTCTGTCACACAACCACCGTCTTTCCTCTCACCTATACAGTACCATAAAGATATACATGTGTCGGCACTTTGTGTTGTAGCTGCCAAAACAATCCTCTAACACACACACATTGTGTACATGTGCTGTCACACTGCTGACTTTGTACAGCGGTGCTTTCTGCTTTTTAACAAAGTGCCTTCAGTCACACACACTCACAATCTGTCACTCAGACATCAGGACAGTCGATCTGTTAGCTGTTATTTTTCCTGCACAGCAGTACATTGTTGGACTAATGCCTCATTCACGCATAAATGATTCTGTTCTCACTCTCTCTCTATCTCTCACTGATTCCATTCCTTTCAGGGTTCCCTGTTCTCCTCTTCCTTTGCCTTGTAGGTGGCAACTTTCCAGAGGATGGAGCTTCTCCCAGCGGCTGCGTGTTGATGTCACCTCGTACGTCAGCAGAACAGACATGCAGGAACATGGCCCAGCACATCCTTCCAGCCCACCGAGATCATGATCCTGGACAATGGAGCAGTGTGTACAGCTCCTTATTACTTAGTACTATTACATTAAAACAAATACATTAAAGTATACATTTAAATGATCTGAATATTTCTTTAACTCAAATCTAAAAGGTTAAATCTGAACACCATGAACATTAATTCACAACATATGCTGTATGAATATAACTCAGTGCCCCACTACATTAGCCAAGTAGATTTAAGCATAAATAACTGTTCGCTGGGCTTGCCAACTTTCATCAATGTCGCATATTTTCTCTCACCAATACGCTACC